AGCGGCGGTTCTCTCTCACGAGCTGCGAGCACGGGCGCATCTCCTACGGAAAAAGACAAGGGGCGCGTCGAGCTGGCGGTGGCGCTGTCTTACAAGACCTACTGCGAGAAAGACATCCGCTTCTACGACACCTTCGCGGATACCAGAGCCGCCCGAGAACCTCTTCTGGCGCGTGCCGAGCGTCAAGTCGGAGAAGCTCTAGCCTGCCAAGAAGAAACACATCGAGCTCAGCTCCGAGAGCGCCCAGCGCCTCAGTCTCGGCCCCTGCACCGAGCGCGTCGGCAAGGCCCTCCCCAACATCCCCATCCAAGCACCTCGATATCCACGACCTCGTGCTGCCGATTAACAAGGGCTTCGAGCCCGTCGAGAAGATGCCCGAGGAGTGCTCCTCCGGCGTGCAGAGCGATCAGCTCATCGAGGGGACCCCCCACGAGGCAAAGCAGTTCGTCAACTGGTGCCGCGACAACTGCGCGGCGCGGGGCATTGACCACGCGCGAGCCACCACGCAAGCGGTCGCCGAGTAGAGCCTAATGCGCACTGCGGACAGGGCCCACAAGCTCCAGCAGGAGAACTGCATGGACAAGCGCCCGCGGCTTGGCTACGCAAGAACCGACAGGCAGCTCCGCTTCGAGACAATGGTTCTCGACCTGCACATCAAGATGAATTTCGAAGAGTTCGCCCAGAACCACGCCGACCACGACAAGATGCACAACCAGCGCGACGCGAAGGCCGAGCCAGAGGGCGACAAGTTGACGCCGAAGGACGCCTGAGAGCCGAGCGGCGGCGAGCCGCGAACGCCTGGCGCACGAGCGCCCCCAGCCGAGCGCCCCCATGCTATTCGCTGCGAGGGTGCCGCGCGAGCGTCTCGAGGCACACGCTCGTGCCTCGTCTGCTTTCATGCTCCAAACGAGCGTTCGAGCACACGCGAGTGGCGTTCCACGCTACGGGTCACGACCCCCCCCCTCTCGCCGAGCGCTCCTCGATCAAGCATCAAGGAATCAAGCGGGCTCGACCCTCCATCCTCGGATCGAGGACCCGAGATCTTGACTCCGAGCATTTTCGAGCACCTTGGGTCCTAGATCCGACGATCGCCAAGCTTGGACTGGAAGATCTCGGGTTCGCGATCCGAGGATGGAGGGTCGCGGATCGGCCCCGTCGCCGTCGCCAGGCCCTTGCCGCCCTCAAGGAGGCCCGATCCTCGGATTGATGGTCCGAGATCTTGGCCCCGAGCAGCTTTGAGCGCCTTGGATCCTAGATCCGAGGATCGCCGCGCTCGGATTAAAAGATCTCGGGTTCGCGATCCGAGGATCGAGGATCGAGCCTCGGCGATCGTCGATCTCCCTTGTCGCCGTTCTCGGGCCCAGGCTGCCACCCAGCAGGCTCGATCCTCGGATCGAGGATCCGGGGTCTTGATCCCGGGCATCTTCGAACGCCTTGGATCCTAGATCCGAGGATCGCCACGCTTGGACTCGAAGACCTCGGGTTTGCGATCCGAGGGTCGAGGATCGAGCCTCGGCGATCGTCGATCGCCCTCGTCGCCGCCCTCGGGCCCAGACCGCCATCAAAGAGCCTCGATCCTCGGACCGAGGATCCGAGATCTTGACCCCGAGCATCTTCGAACGCCTTGGATCCTAGATCCGAGGATCGCCACGCTTGGACTCGAAGACCTCGGGTTTGCGATCCGAGGGTCGGGGATCGAGCCTCGGCGATCGTCGATTTCCCTCGTCGCCGTCCTCGGGCCCAGGCTGCCATCAAGCAGGCCCCCTCGAAGCTGGGACCCCTCGTCGTTTCGCCGTTCGCAGTGGTCTCCAGCACGCGTGGGCCCGTCCACCTTGCAGTTCCTCGGCCGTCTTGCTATCCTTCGTCTCACGCTGTAGCACAGCATCGCTGTCGCGTTTTAAAGTGTAGGTCGCGACGCGTTCTGCGGTGAAAAAAAACCCTCGATGCTGGTGGGCGAGGGCGCGAGAGGAAAGGCGCCCCCCCTGCGCTGCGCGCCAGATTCATCTAGAAGAAAGGCAGCGCGACCCGCGCAGGAACGGGCGCCGCTGCTCTCGCGCCATCCGCGCGTTCCAGACCGGGGCCCTCTTGTCGGCATGGCGAGGCGGGGCGCGACCGTCGACGCCCGCTGCCTGTCGCCAGCGCTCGCCTATGGCGCCCGGGCGCTGGGGGGCTCAGCTTGTCATTGGGCGCGCGTGCGCTTCCTCTGCCGGCCTGGTGGCGCCGCGCCCTGCTGTTGCTCTCCGCTCGCGCGCCCCCTTCCCCCCCCCCATCGCGCCCCCTGCCGAGAAGCGCGCGCTCTTTCTGGCAGGGGGCTGGCCGAAGCGGGCCACGCGTAGCCATGCTTGCTCCGCTGCTTGCGCACGCAGCCACCCCCTCTTCCTCCCCCGTTGTCTTCGATGCGAAGTTCGCCTGCGAGCGTCGTCCATTTCCACGGTCTCGACGAGCGGGCCTGGCGCAAGGGCCCAGTTGACCCACCTTTGCAGAGCCATTCGCTCGTCGGGTCGGACGAGGGGGGGGCATTGGAAATGGGGGGGCGCGCGTGGTCTCGACCCCGCCGCTGGGCACCTCTCACGCTACATTGTCGGTTCTCTCGGCGCTGGCAGGTGCCAGAGAAACCAGTTCCGCGACCTGATTCGAGACTTGACCGCCGTCGTCGTCCTCGTCGTCGTCGTCTTCCTCGTCGTCGTCGTCGTCGTCTACCTCGTCGTCCTTGTCATCGTCGTCGATCTCGTCGTCGACCTCGTCGTCGACCTCGTCGTCGTCGTCGCCCCCGTTGGCGCCCCCGCTCGTCGCTGGGCCCGACCCTCCTCTCACCTCCCCCCCCCCGTGCGCCTCGAGGGAGCGGGCCCGAGGGGCTGATCGGCCCGCCGCCGCCGGGGCCGCCTTCCCCCCCGCCCCCCCGCGGGGGGGAGCCCCGCGCCTCACATATCGCGGAGCGGCGCGGGGGAGGGGGGGGGGGGGGGCAGGCCGAAGCGCCCACGGTGCCGAAGGCGACGACGACAAAGACAAAGACAAAGACGACAAAGACGGCGGCGACGACGACGACGACGGCGACGACGGCGA